CGCAGCTCGTGCTTGACAGTGAGGAGCTGCTCTCCCCCGGCGCCGCCGTCCCCGCTGGTCCCCGCCGCGCCGCCGCCGCCGCTGCCGCCCTCCTCCTCCATCTTCTCCGTTTTCGGATCCCGCGGGGTCCTACGAGGGGACCCGGGAGACAGCGGACGCCCGGCCCCTCACGGCTCCTGCTGCAGCCCCAGGAGCCGGGGTGCGGCGGCTCCACAACTCGGACGCTGAGACGAGTCTCTTTCCCGCTCTGGCCGCACGGCTCGCTCCTCCGCCTCCACCCCCTTCGGCTGGCACCGCTAGTACCGCGCAACCAAACCGCCCCCTGCCCCGCCGCCTCCTCCGTCAAGCCGCTCCGCCCACAGCCAGCAAGGTAGAAGAGCCATTCGAGCCGCCATCGCTTATTGGGCACAGGGCGCGCGCATCTGTCAACGCCGGCTCCCATTGGGCAGTCCGCTCTGACGCTGCGCGAGCTGCCCCGCCCCGCTCCTCGAATTGTTGCTTGGCGCGGAGGCAGGAGAGGGGAGGAGCGCGACCGCTGCGGTTGGTGAGACCCGAGATTCTGCCCCGCCCATTTCCCCTAGTGTGCACGCGCAGTCTGGACCTTCCCTTCCCTTCCCTGACCTCCCAGAACGGTCACACCCCTTATTCCCCAGCTTCGATCTGTTAGTAAACAGTATCTAGTAGTCAGGAGGCCCTCCGGGTCTGTGATTGGATACTGCTGAAAGAGGCGGGGAAGGCTGATTGGAACGTTTGGTCCGCCAATCACCGTGGACAGAGGCGGGGCCTGGAGGAAAGCGCTTAACTCACGTGTTTGCAGACGTGCCTGAGGGTCTCGGACAGCGATCCTCAGGTGTGTGACCAGCTGGAAGACAGCCTGTCTTAAAAAGGTGTTACTCGCCCTAGTGAGTCCTAAGCAAGTTAAGTGGAGTTTGTGCTTAGAGATAGTTCTTAGACATTGCAAAAATTCACAGTCCTAGCTCTCGATGAAGACTTCTGCAAAGGATAGGCATTTTCATTTTGTACAAGTCTTATCCTAGGCACCAAAAGGATACAGAGATTAATAAAATAGAATACAATCCTGGTCCCTAAGCTGCTTTCAACAGAACATTAGAAACAATCTGTGTATATACACAGGAAACTATAAAGCAGAATTTGAAATAAAACCGTCGTACAAACTGTTAGAGAATCGCACAGATGGCAATAATTATTCTAAGCAGAGGAGATGGGGAATGCTTTTAGGGCAAGGAGGCATTTGATAAAACCAACTTAAAGGATAGGTAAGATGGAAATAGCAACAGACATTTCCTACAGAGATGGTAACTGTGAGCATAGGCCTGGAAGTAGAGAAGGCAAGGGTGGGTTAAGTGATTGATAAAGCTGGGTGGAACTATGATGTAAGAGATAACAGCTAAAAAAGTAAAGTGCGTTAAGATAATGGAGAACTTTACCCTGCTAAGCAGTGCAGACGAGTGCAGGATGGGAAGCCTCAAAGAATAGTTACAATATCAAAGCTGTTCTCTTGGAAGTTAGCTTCGGTTTTAGTGAGAAGGAGGAAGAATACCGTTGCAAGAATGGAATTTGAGGGCCTAATGGGACATGAGAATGGGAAAAGGAGAGGATTAAAGATGGATGCTTGGACGTAATTCACATAGAAGTAGGCTTTTAAACTAAGCATGGATTAGATCAGAGGTCAGCAAACTTTTTCTGTAAAGGGCCAAATAGTAAATATTTTAGGCTTTGTGGGCCACATGGTCTCTTTCACAACTACTCGACCCTGCTATTGTAGCAGGAAAGCGGCCATAGACAATAAGTAAACTAATGGATACGGCTGTGTTCCAATAAAACTTTATTTATGGACATTGAAATTAAATTTCACATAATTTTCACATGTCATGATATATTCTTCTTCTTCTAATTCTTTTTAACCGTTTAAAAATATAAAAATCATTCTTAGCTCTTAAAAACCAGGCAGTGAACCAGATTTGGCCTGCAGGCCATAGTTTGCAGACTCCTGGATTAGACTGCCATGGAAAAGAAAGCCGAGAAGCCTGGGCAGCCCTTTCAGGTTGCCTCAGCTCCCTGGGCTTACCTGCCTGGATCATTTATCCCAGTAAACCAGGACTTCCTACTTACTTGTCTTTCTCCTCCACAAGGAGAAAGAAAGTATGCTATTGGAGCCAGAGAATGTGTGCAATTGTTCATTTGTTCACTCAACACCTTTTACACCAATTATGTACCAAGTACTATGATAGATGCTAGAGGGACAGTGGGAGCAAAACAAATACAATCCTCGCTCTCACAGAGCCTACAGTCTAGGAATGGAAATAAATATTAAATAATCACATAAAGAAATGTAAACTTTACAATGTGATCATGCTGTAAAGGAAAATTATAGGATGCTACAATAGAATATATTGGGGGGCCTAATTTAGGTTGGAGGAACTTGAAAGCCTTTATAAGGAAGTGTTATTTAAGCTGATTCTTTAAAGATAAATAGGTTTTAACGAGGATGTGGCAGAGACTGGCCTGATGCTTACCAATCTCATTTCCTCTTCCTGGACACACAGGAAAACTACATTTTTTTTCTCCTTTGCAGTTAGGCTAGGGTCATGTAACTGTGATCTGGCCAATGGGATGTGGGCAGACATGATGTGTGCCATTTCCAGGCCTGGCCAGAAAACCCCATGCGTACTCACTCACACTCTCTTCTCTTTCCACAACAACTACAAAGGCCACATTTTGAATATGGAGATGCCATAATTTAGAAGAACCCTGAACCCCTGAGTCCCCACTGGAAGAAGAGCTACCCTAACCTACATCAGACCATGATGTGAGCAATAAATAAATCTTTTTAGGCATCAGCTACTGAGATGTTGGGATTGTTTGCTACCAAAACATAATCTAGCCTACCCTAACTATTTCACAAGTGAATTGTTGCGGGGAGCAAATTCTAGGAAGATGCAGATGCAAAGAAAGACCCGAGGCAGACAAAGAGCCTGTTGTATTTTAAGGATTGAGAGAAAGCCAATGGGGCCATCATACAGTAAGTAAGCAAGAGATGAGGTGAGGGAGGCAGGTAGAGACCCAAGCATGAAGTGTGTAGTAGGCCTTATTAATATTTTTGGAGTTTTTCTGTGTGAAGTCAGAAGCAATAGGAGGAATTTAAACAGGGGAATGATACAATTGGGGTAATATTTTCAAAAGGTCACTGTGGTCAGTATTTGGAGACCTGGCTGGAGGGAGTGAGAGGTGATACAGGGAGACCAGTCAGGAGGTTATCACTGTAGTCTGGGCAAAAGATGGTAGTGGATGCAGTAGATATGGAAACAAATGGAATGCTTCTATTATATATTTTTGACTTCATGAAGGATTAGATTTGGTGGGTGAGGGAAAAAGGTATATCTGAAATGACACCAAAGTTTCTAGCATGAGCAACTGAGTGGATGGAAGAGGATGGTGGTACCATCTAATGAGAGGGGTGAGTTAAAGGAAGAGCACATATCAGAGAGAATATCAAGAGTTTAATTTTGAGACATCTAATGGCAATATTAGGTAGCTATGTGGCTATATGAGTCTGGAGCTCTGCAGAGAGGTGTAGGATAGAGATATAAATTTAGGACTCCTTGGCATAGAGATGGTATTTGAGGCCAGAAGTATGAATAAGTTTACCTGGGGAGAGAATGTGCAGAAGGAAGAGAAGAGGAGCCCATGACTGAAGTCTAAGGAATTTCAACATTGAGACATTGGAATGAGAAGGTGGAGCCAGAGGCGTAGGAGGAAAACCAGGAAGGTTCTGTATCTTGGAAGCCAAAGTGTTTCAAGAAGGAGGGAGTGCTCAGCTGTGTCACATGCCCTGAGAGGTCACATAAGATGAGGTCTGGAAAGAGCCCATGAATTTGCCAACTTGGGTGCCATTGGTGACAATATTCAAAGCGGTTTTGGTAGAGCAAATGACAGGTGAAGGGGTAGAAACAGTGTATGTGGACATATTTTTCAAGGAGTTTGCCTCTGAAGGAAAATAGAGAAGGTGCTAGCTGCCAGGATCTGGAGAGATTTTTTTTGTTGTTTTTTACTTTTTATTTTCAAATAGTTTTTAAATCACAGAAGAGTTGCAAAAGACCGTATAGAGTTTCCACATACCCTCTAATCAGATTGCCCTAATGTTAATATGTTACATACCATGGTTCAATCATCAAAACTGAGAAATTAACATTGGTACAAAATTTTTAAATAAACTACGGACTCTACAGATTTCACCACTTTGCCATAAAAATGGTTTTTATATTTTTAAATGTTTGAAAAAGAATTAAAAGAAGAAGAGTATACCGTGACATGTGGAAATTATGTGAAATGTAAATTTCAACGTCCATAAATAAAGTTTTATTGGAACACAGCCATGTCCTTTCTCTGTGCTGGGATCCAATCCAGGATCCTACATTACGTTTAGTTGTCGTGACTCGGTAGTCTCCTCCAATCAGTAGCAGTTCCTTAGTCTTTCCTTGCTTCCCATGACCTTAACTCTTTTGAAAAGTACTGGTCAAGTATTTTGTATAATGCCCTTCAATTTGGGTTTGTCTGATGTTTTCTTTTTTTTTTTTAAAGTCTTTTTTTTTTTAACTTTTTTTTTTTAATTTTATTTATTTATTTTTTCCCTCAAAGCCCCAGTAGATAGTTGTATGTCATAGCTGCACATCCTTCTAGTTGCTGTATGTGGGATGCAGCCTCAGCATGGCCTGAGAAGCGGTGCATCAGTGCGCGCCTGGGGTTCAAACCCGGGCTGCCAGCAGCAGAGCGTGGGCACCCAACCGCCAAGCCACGGGGCCAACCCTGTCTGATGTTTTCTTATGATTAAATTGAAATTACGCATTTTTGGCAAGAGTACCACAGAGATGATGTGCTCTTCATCAATTCATCATACCAGGAGTAGAAGAAGTTTATATTCTTATTACTTGTGATGTTAACCTTGAACACTTGGTTAAGGTGGTGTTTGCCAGATTTCTCTACTCTTAAATTTTATTTTTCCCATTGTAATTAATAAATATTGGGAAGACATGTGAGATACTTTTAGACTATGCAAATATCTGGTTTCTTCTTAAGCTTTCTCCCACTAATTTTAGCATCCATTGGTGGATCTGCCTAGAGCAGTTATGAGACTGTGATATTCTAACAGTAATTTTCTATTCGATTGTTTTGTGTGTGTGTGTGTGTGTGAGGAAGATGAGCCCTGAGCTAACATTTGCCAATCCTCCTCTTTTTGTTGAGGAAGGCTGGTCCTGGGCTAACATCGTGCTTATCTTCCTCCACTTTATACGGGATGCTGCCACAGCATGGCTTGCCAAGTGGTGTGTCGGTGCGCACCCAGGATCCAAACCAGCGAACCCCGGGCCGCCGCAGCGGAGCACACGCACTTAACTGCTTGCACCACCGGGTCGGCCCCTATTCGATTGTTTTTTAAGATGAGAAATACTGGAACATGTTTGAATGGTGATGGGATGGGTGGACTGCGTAGGGGTT